TGTCTACTCATTGTACATTTTGTTCACTCAAAGTATTTTTCTTGTAAAAAGAATCATTGCTCGCTGTAGTTTGACAAAGGTGTTTTTACAAAAGGAAGTGTAACTACAGGACTGTTGTAACTACAGACAGAATGGTGAAAATTTTCTGGTATCCTCAAAAATAGCAACAAGAACCCCCCACTCCACCAAAACCCGGACCTTCAGAACGGCCCGAAAAAAATATAGCTAATTTTTTAAGACTAAGAATCATTCCTTATAAAGCAATGAATTGTGGACTGACTCCAGATAACATTACACAATGATTTTTTTGTTTTAAATGTCAAACCTTAAAGGCTACTCTGACAATAAATGCAGCTTTCTTAGAGGAAACTGTGTGTTGCACACTAAACAGAAATTAAATGTATCTGAAAGGGCACACAATTTTTTTAAAACTTTTAAATTATTTTGTAGGATTTTCATTCAGAACTAAGATTGCTTAAAACAAGAATTGCTAAAGGTTACCCAGTAAGTTTTCTTTACATTTTGAAGCTCTACCATTCATGCAGAAAGAGGCAGAAAAAATTCTTTCCATTTTATTACAACTCCTGTGTTTCCTGTTAATGTTTACATGATGCAGTCAGGTAAAAATTTCATGTCAGAATAAAATATTCCAGGATGGGTATTAAAGCACAGAAATAGCAAGTCAATTATAAAAGTCTGGACAAAGCAAACAAGATGCCATTAAAATACTTAGCAGATTGATTTAAAAATCTCAGCAGAATTCAATCTGTAAGGGGCAAGGTCTCTGCTGAATATAAAAGCACCACAACCGTGGCAGACTTCCAAAACACAAGGAAAAACATACATGTTTTTAAAACATTGCATCGCTATGAAAATGACTTGAAAACAGTGCTTGTAAAAACGCCAGGCTCAGCCACTTTGTATTCTTTATGAATTTTTTTTGTTCTCAAGTAATCTTATTTTTTTTTTTTAAAAGAAACACTTTTAACATAGGACTGAAGAATTCTGTGGGAATATCTGTGGATGTACTTCAGCCTACAGCATTGCTACTCCTGACACTGAACAAGAAGAAACACAGACCTTCAGAGTTAAGGTTGATTTACAGAACTGATAGTCAAAAAGCAAATCAACCCCCAAAGCTTTCTGTGGCGTAAAGGGAAGAAATCCGATGTAATCTGTGAGATGCCATAACTGAAGAACACCTTTACATCCAAGTAGTTTTCAGATCATCAAAGTTCTTGGACCTCTGTTTGTAGCCACTTACGGACCAGGAAACACACAACTATTACTTTAATTGTCAAATGTCTTACTGAAAAGCGTGTTTAATTCTCCAAGTTATCACTTAAAGAGGGGACATTCACCACATTCTAAAAACACTCTTTGGTTTACCTTGTGCAATTGCCAGCACTGTGCATATAAATTTCCTGTTTCATTGCTTCCTCACTCCTGTCTGTTGTGGATAAGATCTATCAAACAGGGGAAGCATTTTAAGAACAGGAAAGTATGACTATCAAGTAAGAAAAATTGGCACAGAGATTCAGGAACAGGCATTAGTACCTAAAGCTGCTTTTACCCCACTTAAAAAACATGTATATGACCAAGAATATATGTACAGCATCAGAGCAACATATTAATACACCATACTGGCTTTGTCAGATTTGCTTTACGCTAACTGGATAAATTAATTCCAAAAACAAATTTCCTGTATCTCCTTCAGCAATGTGATCCTACCACATTCTTTATGTACTTTCTAACAAAAGAAAACTCTGCTGGAGTCTACATCGTATTTCCTGGAATTAACCTTGGAAATGACTGTTTTGAACACCATGAACTGAAACTCCACTCACACTTACGCCTACGCTATGTCAGTTAAGTACCCGGAATTCCTCAGCTCCAAACTGGCGTCCTATGACGCTTGAAAAGGCAGCCCAACAATTATATCCTGTTGGGGCTTTTTCTTTTTTTTTATTTCATGTGCAACATACCTCCATCTTCAGCTATACTCTTTCATCTCACATAAGTATTTCCTGAAACAATCTGTAGCAACTCTACATTGAACCTTACTATAAGGGAGAGGCAGGTTTGTGGATAGCTATTAGAAGTTGTTATGTGGCCGCTTTGATGGAAACAAAGCGGTAACACAGACACGTCAGAAATAAAAGGTTAATTTGTAAACCTGTTGTACAATGTAGTTATTTAAGCCTTTCGTTTCATCAGCACCCACTCTCAGGACTGCAAAATGTCTTCTTTTTTGGAAGTCATCACCATGGAACCTGCCCTATTTCTGAAGTAAATCATCTGGCTCCATTGACCGTTCAGTTCTTGTTTTACTTTACCTGTTTTTCTATGTTTCGTAAAAGCAGGGTAGGGCTGCTGGGTGACATTTCAAAGTCATGCTCCGGCAAAGAATCCTGTCTCTCAATGGCAGCTTGCGAATTCCCTGTGGCGTTTAATAAAGCTTCTTGGTCTGTCAATTGTATTTGCTTCTTCAAAATGTCTTTTGGAAATGGGAATTCTTCTAAGATCACCATCCCCTAGACAACAGCAATTGAACACAGTTGGTTGACAACGGATTAACCCTCCTAAATAATTTTTAAGGGGCAGTCAAACCTGGCACATCCCCCTTAAATCCTCCCAGCAACTCTTTGGAGCACAGCAACTACATTTCAAATACACTTAACAGCTAAAATATAGACATTGTAGGTATTTTTGTTAATGAAAAGCTGCACGATTTATGCTACCCCTTGTAACAGCAATCACTCTAGTGTTATACCACTGCTTAAATATCTGTGCCAAAATTCAAATCAGAAATTCATACTTATTACGGCAACTATATGGTCATTTGTCCGCTGATTTAAGAGGTTTTTCAGTAAGAAACAACCACCCTTTGATTTGAAGTTGGTTATAGTCTTTGCAGGCAATAAATTTTGCAGGGGCATTTTAAAGTGCTCTATTTTTGTTATTCCTATCCATGCTCTAAGCAAAACATCCAAGGTTCTTATTTTTTACGTAGCAGAGATGGATACAATTCAAAACAAAAGCCTTTTATAATTTAATAACTGATTTAAGGTGAGCATTTTTAGAGTTTCATAATTACAGAGGGAACTATGATAAATATGCTAGCAATCTCATTGCTTTTCAAGACAATCTGCACAAATGTGGTATCAGACATGGTCTATCATCTAGAATGTCACCTAATAAGATAAATGTAACTTTTATGATAGGGAAATAACAGAGTTTCATAAACGAAACCAGGAAAAGAATACCCTTATTGTGTTTTCCACATGACAGATTAGAAAAATAAGTGTCACATACAATCCTAGGTAACACCTCAGTTGGTTTAACAACTTAAAATGTTACACAAAATAATAAGCAAAAATAACTTTGTAACAGTTAAAAACAGTTCCTCAAATAGTCCCTTAATTTGTCATTATCTTGAGCAAACAAATTCAATACTCAGAAAAGGCTATCAAACCTCTGCAGGTTTTTTTACAAAGAGAAAGGGAAAGAACTCACTTGCTTTTAAGTACTGACTGTTGACTCAACTATCAAGCAGATATTGAAAGAACGGGACCATTCAATTACACTGCCTCAAATTTGTTTTCTAGTGAGAATATTCCACTAAAAAGCATGACAAGATTGTCATCATGTGAACACAAGGAACGCCTATATTATTTCTTTACGCAAGACAGACTTCACCTAGGTTGTGGCTGTGAAAAATTAAGGATCCTGTAGTTTAACTCACACCTTGACTCCTGTCTCAGCAGCAACTTGCCCTAAAACATGAAAGCAAGTCTTAAAGAGACTTCTAAGGGGAGACTCGGAAAAAATGTGAAACTGTCCTGTTCTCATTGTGTCTCTAACTTATTCCCCTGTTTGAGTTATAAAGTCAAAGCTGAGAACAAAGATACTATCTAAAAAAAAATGTAGGTACTTGAAAACTTGCTTTAGTGCCCAAAAGGGGCACACAGCTTCTGAAATTTCCATCGAGTCAGCATTAGATTTGCCACATTCCTTATCAGGTAGTAGCCCATCATCTGTGCTTTTCCATTTACAGCAGACGGAAACAAATCCAGACAGTATCATACTACAACCTGCAGACCAAGAGCAGTTACAAAGTAGGGCGTATGTTCAAGGAAATTCAAGTATAGATCTAATTTTTATGTGCTACAACAGGAGGACAAGCTAGCTCCACAGCTTTAGACTCTTTTAGAAAAAGAATCGTAGGTCATGACCACAGACAGAGAGAAAAAAATAGCTCACAAAAGTCTAAAACACAAATTCTTAAGTCAGAGGAATAGGAAGACACACAGGAAAAGTGGTGAAAAGAGGGGGGCACACTCCCACCCTCCACTGGAATTTTGTTTTTTTAAGTTGCAGAATCCTGTTGACAAGCACGGGAAGAGGAAAGCAGAAAAGGAAGGAGAAAATTGACAGACTGTATGAAAAGGCAGAGATGGAATAGGTACAGAAAAAAAGAGGAAGAGTAGAATTAGAAGACTAATAGTGACTATATAGGAATTATAAATTCAATGGGTTACAGCCAGTAGGTTTTGGCAGTGAACTCTTCCCGCCCCTCTTTAGCTCGAATTATTTTGTTTTGCAGATACGGTTTGTTTTTTTTTTTTAATGGAAAGACTCTCAAAGACCCAGAGCTGCTACTTCTGCGTGCACAGAGATGGAGAGGACAAAATGTAGTAGGGCAGGAAACTACCCACAAGTTAACCATCTCCCTTCCTATTGTGTTATGGTGTCAGAGGAGTGGCATTTTGCTTGAAATCATTGTTCACTGGCTATAAATCACATTTTTTTCCACTCAAAACACACAAAAAACACTCTGAAAACATTAAACACAGCATACAAATTCTAATGATATTGTGTAACTACTTTGCAGCCACTAAATGAAAACAAAGAGCTCTTCTATCAGCCCACATGTCATTCCATAGCTGCTGCTACACACACGTATACAAAAAAAATCACAGCTGAAGAAAGTAAGTGTCTACCTTCACTATGGGACACAATACAAAATACTGAATACCACAGCTGGTAAAAGGGCCATGAAGTTTGCAAAAAGGAATGTCACTAAAGATCTCCACCAGGAAGACGACTAGGCTCCAAGCCAATATACCACCTAATGTGAAGAAAATGCATGACTAAAAGAATGTTCTTTCTCCCATTTCTCTGTTACTTATTTCTCCATGTTCTGCAGCTTGTGAGACCTATTCCACCCTAAAGGCTGATAGCTTTTGGGTGTAACACTGTGGACATACCCAGTACTTTGGGCAATACTAAAATACGGGCATTCTCACCCTTCACCAAAATACAAAAACTCCTTTCACTTCTGTAGGCACAGAGGCAGGACAGACCCTGAAACAAAGGCTCTTCAACTATTTTTTAAAGAAAAATCTGACTGGGGAAAAGTTGTGAGCAGGAGAGACAAAGCTGGATATGAAAAGAAGGGCTTTGAGGGCAAAAGAACAAGGAATAATTTTTGTTTATGTGATCCAAGGGAAGTGCTCTCTGGGGTGATTTCCTTCTCCTCTTCAACTCCCTCTAAGTCTCATGTTCAGCCACATGAAGTCTAAAGCATCTTCTGGCTCCTCTCCGTCAGCGCTTATCTGACCCCAGCATAGATCAGGCAACCTACATGAGGCTCCTCAATGGAAAGTCAATGGGCCCTCCTCTAAAACCCCTCACTATCACACTACCGGAATTATCACAGGTTTTGGCTTCTTGCACATAAGAATGACTGGGGAACACATTAAATTGATAGATAGATTATTAATGTTTTAGGAATGCGACTTTCCCACTGTCTAGCCAGTTCGATTTACAAAAACTAGTACATGAGTTACACACACTGGAATTTTAGTAATAATTAATCCTTGACCTGTTCAAAGTGCTGTACAAACATTAACTAGGTAATCCTCAGAATAAACATGCACTGTAAATAACAGAAAAACCCACCCTGAAACCCCACAACACCAAAATGAATAACCAACCACCCCTCCTGAAAACCAAATCTTGCTTCTACTACAGAGGGAAAAACTAGTGTGATAAATGCAGTACCTTGTGCTGGGCCCCTGAAAGTCACTAACAAAGTCACTATCACAGGTAAGAAGGTGAGAGTTCTCGACTCCCAGTGCTGTATTGATGCCTCTAAGGTACAATACTTTTTAGCTCCTGATGTCTTTCTCATTAACCTTAGCAGGCAATAGCCTGCATGGATACAAGAACTCTAGGGCAAAACAAACAACAACAAGGAACCAAATATTACACAAAACTCTGTCAAAAGATTATTTGAAAAGCCCGTTTATGAGCTTACAGACAATACCTTGGTGGCACGTATCTGCCTGTGAAGGTCAGTTAGTTGTTGGATTTTGTATTCTAGTTCTGAAATCTGGGCTTGAAGCCACGTCCAACGGCTGCCAATTCTAGCTCTGTCTGCAAGCCACTTCCATTCAGAAGTATAGCTGCTGTGAAGAAAAAATGCTGGTTAGTCCAAAAATAAAGATAACCACATTTGCACAAAAACATTTTTGACAGCTGCTCTGCCTCATGTTGCAAGCATCTCAGTTGCTTTCAGAAGATATCTGATTATATCCATCCAGTTTCACATCAGCTTATTTCTGTAACTACAGAACTTGCCCAAACCAGTACAATCAATGTTCACCGGCTATCCCCAGGCTAAGCTAGCTTTCTGTTCTGAATTCTAAAACCCAGGGCTGGGGAAACTACCAAGCTCTATCAGTTAATGCAGATTACAGATTTGTAAAGAATTCCAGTAACTCCACCAGCAAGAATCTGAATTCTTACACCACACTTCCTCCCACAAGCTTCCATGAATGTCGCTTGCTACCAACTGGAATCTAATAAAACACCAACCAGCAGTGACCAGATAGATATCAAGTCACTGCCCAAAAAACCAACGACGTAGTTTAGATTTTTTATTCAAGCCATTTTATAAATATAGATGTGTCAGTATAGTATAGTATAGTAAGGTCACTCTTACTGCTGTTTACAAATAGGTGTATTTTGTAACACAAAAGATATGCCTCCCAGTACTTGACATTGTGATTAGCTCAACTTTATTATGCTAAATTCATGACTGGTATCAGCAAACTTTACTCGACCTACATATTAAATAAATTAATGACATAACAGTACCACTCAACAAATAAACTTAATATCTAGTAAGTTTAAGCAACAGAGACAACACAATGCAGTATTTTAGTATGCAACTATCACTAGTATCCTACCATTAACTGAGTTTGTTTATTTAAAGAAAATGATTAGTGCTTTTTCCCCACTAAAGTTGTCAAGCAGTTTGCCACAGCTAACTTAAAAGAACTGTAAAAACAAAATCAAACTTCTTCCAGAAAAGAAGTGCTTTTACTCAAGTTATTGGGATAACTACTGGATCTAAATCCTGGATGACACCGTATGTAAGTCTTCCACAAGCAGAATACATGATCCCCTGTTCCCCAGGCAATGAAAAGTACTGAAGTATCACAAAAGAGACAAGAAAAAGCAGATGTCAGTGAATAGGCATAGGAACATCACACAAGTGCAATTGGTTTGTGCAGAACTACCTCAACAATGAAAGAATAGCAATACATCACCCAGCAGATGATGCTAGACATTTGCTGGCATGAGGCGAGAATCACCAAATGTGAGAATCCTAATATTTTCAGGGCAAAGATTATAAAGCATAATATAACTTAAAATCTCAGAACTCTCAGTCTACTTTAGCTGTCGTAAATAGTAAGAGTAGACGCAGTCTCCGGCAGGTTACCTCTAAAATACATAATTTCTCCCTTTTTTAACGTAAATTATTTGCCCACATAATTTACAACCAGCTTAATCTCTCTCCCACACAAAATGAACATACGCAATTAGACAGGAGATTGAAATGTCCTGTTTAAATCCAGATTGTAAATGCAAGCAAATAAAGTGGATTACCATAAAAAAGAAACTCAAAGACTCTATAAATATATACCATAATAAATTGTTTACATTTTATATATTCTATTAGTGATTTAGTCCTAGGAAAAAAGGCATATGAAGTCATCTTGTGAATACCCATTTTTCTGACAACCCCTTCTTATTTCTCAGGTCTTCTTGCCAAGAACCTCCCTGTGATTGACAACTTTTGCATGGTTGTACTTCTGGAAGTCATAAAATACAGTTTGCGGAGAAAGGGCAGGGGGGGCGACGGGGAATCCAAATTCCTAGTTGGCCCAAGGCAGAGTTCAATTAAATAATGTGTTCACACAAGTGTGGTGGCTGGAATAGTTAGGATTTGTATCAGGACCCTGGGATGGCAAAAAGTTAGTCCCAAGAAAGAGCTGCTTAATGAGGCTCTAACAAATCCCTTAGTTAATAATTTTAACAAAAAAAAGTTAAACAGGAATAAAGAGAGTAACAGCGAAAAACTCAACAGGATTGTTGAGGTGCTTATTCCTTTCTCAAAAGACAAATGAACAAACAACAAAACCCCACAAACCAGGACGTTATTACAAGAAAGCCAGGTGAAGGAAAATAAATCACACTGCCAGAATTACCTCCCAAGCTAGATGCAACAGAAAGAGAAAGGTGAGCTATCCCCAAACAGACCAAGGAGGAGGGGGGAGCAAATCAGAAAAATAAAAAGTGCCCACGCAGCTGGGAAACAAGAAGCAGAATGGAAAGGGCTGGAGCTGGTCTTATGCCACATACACTGTATAAAATCAGCATGGCAGTAAGGGAATCCATAATCAATACCAAACCACAGCAGGTTACAGAAGAACAGTTAAATACTGTAACCTTAAGACAAACACCTCATATCCTCTGTATATTACTGTCTTACATACTAAAAAAATATTCTGCAAAGTTACATTTACAGGATTTAATTACATGGTAATAATGATGTCCTTAGGCTCCTCTGTAAGGGTTTCCACCAAACTAAGCACAAACATTTTAAGCTCATGCCAAAGGAAGCAATTTTAGCTTCTCTTGCCTGCAAGCCCAGGCTGCCCCGTGCCCAGCGCCTGCACTTGGACAGCTACACAGCAACATGCATTAGAGAGTTGCTCATGGTTAATTTTAACTTCAGAGACAGGGTGAATGAAGTAAGTTCAAGTCTAGATCCCTTTCCCAGTTTTGATGCCTTGCAGACAGACAAGACACTTCTGCACTGCCACAAGGGAAGGGGCAGGAAGCTCAAGGCAAGGCAGCGAGCATGAACTCACATTTACGGGACAGGAGGTGAGAGCACTTCTGAACTCTGTTCCCATCTCTGTCACTCATATTTGTTTGATCTTGCATTATTTATTTACCATCTTTGCCTCTATTTCTCTACAAGCTATGTAGTAAACCTTGTAACACCTCAGAGAAAAATAAAATCACTATAAGCTATCCTCACACTCCTGAAGTGAGCTGTTTGCATGCAAAGTGGTATGGTCACTCAAGTGACAAGTGATAACCTACCACTGAAATTTGAAAAAAAAATTAAATAAAATCTGTAAATCTATTTCTGGGACGTTAGAGAGTACAGCATAACATCAAGATCAATTCATTAATTCTGCAAATCCAGAGAAGAAGAAAAAAAACACCAACCACAAAGGGTTACCAAAATAGCCAGGCCTGTTACTGAAGGAGGAAGTCAGAGCAGGTGCTAATGTAGAAGCTCCTGCTCTGGTTCCCTGTTGGGAATAAGACAAGAAAAAAAAAAAGTTTCTGTCTGTCCCGCTTCCTGTGTGCTCCTTTTGCAAAGCATCTTTACTTGGTTGCCGTGCTTTCGACTCTTAACATCATACATCCTCCACAGGAATTTCAAATTCATTCTTCTGCTGGCAACTCTATATAAACCACGTTACGTTTGCCAAAGTTTCTAATGTTCAGTACTGCAGTACAGCGAAATATTAAACTTGCATCGCTCTTGCGATGACTCTAAAGCTACAGATGATCTCCTGCAGTCATCCAAGTCTATTAGAACTGGAAGAGAACGCAGCAATACTGACTTCATATGACTAAAACATCTCATTTAAACATCCCTAGAAAAACATGCTGGAATTGTATTAGAGGCAAAATTTGTTTCTATGTGAGATACTGGCTTGCATTTCCCCTGGTTTGGTTAAACTGCAGGAGGTCAATCCTGCACGACTTACAGAAGAAGAAAGAAGGAAATGCAGAGGAACAAACAAGCCACAAGGAGCACAGATACAAAAGCAGCCAGTCAAAGTATGATCAGAAATGTAACTAGGAAGCAGACATTCAGGCTGTACTGTGTCACCCCAATGTATGGGGAAGAATTCGGCTGGGGACTGCCAGCAGCAACCGAGGCAGTATAAACATTTCATCAAAGCTATTTGCTTTTGCCGAGACCAAAGACGCAAGTGAAGGGCACTAAATAATATACTGCTAGTGCAGTCAATACTATCACTTGAACTGAAAGAAGTTTTAGCCATGATCTATGGACAGACTATATGGATCAACCCCTCAGCACTCTCACCTTCACCAAAAGAGAAAAGAGAATTGAGAAAAAAACATGCTTTTATGTAACCAAACCAACATCGGAGAATGCAATGGGACTATGAGAAGTAGTGCCTCCGTTATGTTGTGGGTGAGATTTATGTTTTCCCAATAGCTAAAATGAGTCTGCCCCGTAAAACAAAACCAGGCAACCTAACTGAGTGCAAAGGGGAACTGCTAACCAAGACACACACTGTTGCTTGGGTTTTGTGCATGGGGTTTTCTTTTTTGTTTGTTTAAAGGAAAAGAGGTGGAATTTAAACCTTTCAGGCATATTTTATTTTTATAAGGAAACAAAACAAGAAGCATGAGAAACAGTTCATAAATAATGAAGGAGAAACACAGTGGTGTTTAAAATGCCCCAAAAAATACAGAACCTGGGACTGATAGTAAGTATCCAGGAAGGTTGATTCAAATAGGTACAGTGAGCACAGGAAATTTAGAGCATGCAGCCCTGTGCCCAAGGCAAGATTCTCCGTAAATATCTTATATCCCAAAAATTAAAAGGGAACAGAGGCCTTCCAGCCTCCTAACTGCCACTAAGAACAAGTAATATGCCCCTACCATGACACATCTGCAGGGACAATGACAGGATGCTTCCTACTGACCAGGAAAGGAGGATGCTTGCAACAGTCCCACATCAAAACTCCAAAACGCAGGTTTGCGAACCCAAAACACAGTCTCCTTCTAAAAGGTTTGTTCCAAAGAACAGCAACATTTTCAAGTTACAACATTCTTAAACATGAACAAGTCAGAGAGCAAGACATTCATGCAGTGTGGGTGGGAAAAACTTCTGCAACTCCAAAATTCTGCATTAAACGTAAGAACAGCAGTTGTTCCTGACATTCCCTCATGCTTACATTTTCTCTCAGTTTCCTAACATGGTGTATTTTGCCAGGCCATATCCCTTTCAGTTTTAATCCAGTTCTGGATTGTTTTGGCCTCCAGTTTTCAGATGATTTAG